CCGAGGGCCACTTTCCGGGCCACCTGGTGGACGTCAGCGGCGCGGGGTCGCTGTCCCAGAGCTACCAGTACGAGGTGTGTCAGGAGAGGATCTGGGACCAAGGAATTTAAGTTTTTGAAATCTGTTGTCTCCATTGCTCAACAGAAGTCTGTGAATGATGTGGAGGAAAACACATTTTGTAAATTTTGGATTCAATTAGGAATTTGGATGAAGGTTAGTTCTTTCTAAATATGATAGGTCTCCATTACTGCTTTGGTCCATATAGAATGTCTTTCTTGGGTGTTTTGCTGATTCCACATTCCTATTAAAGGGATTAGAAATATTCTTTAAGCATATCCTCATATTTACTCTGTTTTTTAAATTTCTATTTTGATGGAAACAAAGAAATTTCAAATGTATTGCATTACTGAAAAATCATCAACATGTGGTTCAGTTTATCAACTTTTCATTATCGAGCACTGTTGATTTGAAGATGACTCCACCTCCATCCTCTATTTGGTTGTTAAATGGAAGCTCTAAATTTTTGAGGTTGTGGTTACTTAAGAGGTATCATTCATTAACATAATGAAGCCTATGTTTAATCTGATATTAAGCTTACCTATCTTAAATTTTTAAATGGATAAAAGTTCTGCAAAAAATGCATATTTTTGTTTCACGGTAGTATTAAATAGAAAGGCTACAATTTCTCCCATATTTAAGGGCTTTTCTTCTATAACAACCTTCAATATATCATATCTATGAGTATTATTAAAAGATTATTAGATTATTTCAAGATACTTAAATGATAGATCCTTTTTGTCTAGCCCACCCCGTCATGTTCGGTAAACTTCTCTCTTCAGTTGAAGTGTACTGTTGCAGCTACATTTATTTCACTCATTTCCCCTTGTGACTTCAGACAATCAGACAAGATGGTAGATATTGCTAATCCAAGCTGAGCAAATCTGACTCTTTTGTTTAAAAAATGGCTTTAGAGGGGCGCCTGGGTGGCGCAGTCGGTTAAGCGTCCGACTTCAGCCAGGTCACGATCTCGCGGTCCGTGAGTTCGAGCCCGGCGTCAGGCTCTGGGCTGATGGCTCGGAGCCTGGAGCCTGTTTCCGATTCTGTGTCTCCCTCTCTCTCTGCCCCTCCCCCGTTCATGCTCTGTCTCTCTCTGTCCCAAAAAAATAAACGTTAAAAAAAAAATTTAATAAAAAAAATAAAAAAATAAAAAATGGCTTTAGAAATCAGATCTAAAATAGTTTTTCTCTTGGGCACCTGGGTGGCTCAGAGCCCATCATCAGTCTCTGTGCTGACAGCCTGGAGCCTGGATCCTGCTTTGGATTCTGTGTCTCCTCTCTCTGGCCCTCCCCCACTCATGCTCTGTCTCTGTCTCTCTCTCAAGAATAAGTAAACACTAAAAAAATGTTTTATTTATTTAATTTTTTAAATTTATTTTTGAGATAGAGAAGAGCGTGAGCAGGGGAGGGGCAGAGAGAGAGGGAGGCACAGAAACTGAAGCAGGCTCCAGGCTCTGAGCTGTCAGCACAGAGCCCTATGCGGGGCTTGAACTCACAAGCTGTGAGATCAGGACCTGAGTTGAAGTTGGTCACTTAACCGACTGAGCCACCCAGGCGCCCCTAAAAAAATGTTTTGAAATAGTTTTTCTGTTAAGAACTTAACAAGAATGTGATATCATGTTGGCTAAATAAATGGAAAGAAACACAGAAAGTCAATCCACTTAGGGAAAAGAAGAAAGGAGATGCCTAAAAAGCAACTTTACAGATTATCCAATCTCTCCCAAGTCTGCTTTCTCCCTTGAGTTTTTGGAAACAAATATGTGCTCTTTTAATTAATCTCCTTTTAATTATGATAGCTAAGTGGATTTTTCCCTTGTCAAAAGCATGTTTAGATATTCTTTCATGGGTTGAACTTTACTATTAATTGGAAATTTTTAACTTAGGGTTTTTATATTAATGTAATATTTGGGATCAAAAGTTTGTGGAATATTAGTAAGGGATAAGCACAAGCTCTTGTTAAAATGTATGATTTTGAGAAGAATTGGTGGCTATTTTCAAATTTTACAGTTTTTGGAATGTCTTATGAAAATTCTACATAGGAGTTTTTGAATATAATTAGTGTCATAATAGCATTAGGGTGAAATAACATTGACAATGTGAAATGTGTTCTAAAAGAGATGTATACCTTCTTTGTAGAATCTTTATAACCCGGTTGTTATGTTCTGGTTTTTGTTTGTATTTTAGAATCTATTCCATTGCATAGTGGAAGCCAGAGTGTTTTGCCATTTGATGAAATACATTTAGATCACTCTGAATTATTGCAAATTACTATTCAAAAGAACATAGAAAATGGCTACTTGGGAATATGGGGTCTTGTTTATCCAGCTCATATAATGAACTAGGGTCCCAGAAAAAAAGGGGGTCTTCTACATTAGGAGGAGGATCCATCTATGAGAATTTTAAAATTAATTGTGATTTATTGATTGATCTATTCAACAAATATTTGTTGAGTATCCACCATGTGTCAGGGACTCTTATAGATGTTGGGGGATGTGGAAGTCAACAAAACAAAGTTCTCAGGCACAAAAATGACACAGAAAAGACAAAACTAATTATGTATGTATATGCTATATCAGATGGTGGTCAATACTAAGGAGAAAAAGCAGGGTAAGAGTTATAGGACTTATATGCATTTTCCCATAGTTTGAAAGTTTCATAAAATCATAATTCTCTGACCTTATGTTGAAATGGCATCATAAACTGGAACTAACTGGTAGTTTTTTCTTTGATATGATTCAACCAATGGGAACCACAATTCTGTCACACACACTGCCTAGAATTTGAAAGAAAATCCAGAAGAATTAACCTTTTCCTTTTTTGCTGAGGGAATTTTAAGAAATCACGTAAGCATATGCTGTTATTTTTATAAGATGATATACCACTAGTGTCTTCTTTCACTTCTCATCTTTCGGAGCACCTCACCCATACTACAGGTTTTAAAAAGTAAGGACCATGTTTAGGTTCTTTGCTGATCTGTTTCAGAACTTAGTACATAGATATCAATAACACTTTTTTTAAATGAAGGAATGAATAATTATAATTGCATGGTTTTCTGATTACATCATCTCCAAACCATTTCCAAACTCCTAATAGCTGGCTAGATATCATACAGAGGGAATAAATTGTAGCAATTCTTTTCGAAGACAACGCATGGTGGCGCTGCAGGCTAAGGCGTAAAAAAAAAAAAAAAAGAAAAAAAAAAAAAGCCCAGGAACTGCTACGAACTCTACCTTAGATCTATAGCCGAAGACAAAAGCCTGTAAGCAGAGTTCCGGACTGTAAGTCTTACTACTCACCATCATTTCTGGACAGGTTACCGACTAAGAGATCTATCACCGTCCCTCAGGTAGAGCTGAGCCCCGTTTCTGGAAAGCATTTATGGAATTAAAGATGGAGGTCGGAAAAGAGTGTTTTCCTAAACAAAGGCAAGTCCTGATTCTCTTTCTCATGTTGGGAGTGGCTCTGGCAGGCTGGAAATCCCGACGCTATTCCGTGATGGAGGAAACAGAGAGTGGTTCGTTTGTGGCCAATCTGGCCAAGGACCTGGGGCTGGGAGTTGGGGAGCTAGCCGCGCGGGGAGCCCGGGTGGTCTCTGAGGATAACGAACCCCGCTTGCAGCTTGATTTGCATACCGGGGAATTGATACTGCATGAGAAACTGGATCGGGAGGAGATGTGCGGCCCCACAGATCCATGTGTAATGCATTTCCAAGTGTTACTGAAAAAACCACTGGGAGTATTTCGAGCAGAACTACTGGTGAGAGACATAAATGATCATTCTCCTGAGTTTCCTGAAAGAGAAATGACTCTGAAAATCTCAGAGACTAGCCCTCCTGGAACCGTGTTTCCACTGAAAAAAGCCCAGGACTTGGACGTGGGCAACAACAACATCCAAAATTACAGTATCAGTTCCAACCCTCATTTCCATATTTCTACCCGCACCCGGGGGGATGGCAGGAAATACCCAGAGTTGGTATTGGACAAAGAGCTGGATCGCGAAAAGCAGGCCAAACTCAGCTTAACCCTCACAGCGCTGGATGGCGGCTCTCCACCCCGGTCTGGCACCGCCCAGGTTCGCATCTTGGTCTTAGACGTCAATGACAATGCCCCTGAATTTGCACAGACACTCTACCAGGTGCAAGTTCCAGAGAACAGCCCTGTAGGCACGCTAGTAGTCAAGGTCTCTGCTAGAGATTTAGACACTGGGACAAATGGGGAAATATCATACTCCTATTTTTATAGTTCCCAAGAAATAAGCGCAACTTTTGAGCTAAACAACCTTTCAGGAGAAGTTCGCCTACTTAAAAAATTAGATTTTGAGACAATATCTTCATATGAGCTGGAAATAGATGCGACTGATGGTGGGGGGCTTTCTGGAAGATGTTCTGTCTCCATTGAGGTGGTGGATGTTAACGATAACTTCCCAGAACTAACGATTTCATCACTCACCAGCCCCATTCCTGAAAATTCTCCAGAGACAGAAGTGGCCTTGTTTAGAATTCGAGACCGAGACTCGGGGGACAACGGAAGGATGACTTGTTCCATCCAGGATGATCTTCCCTTCGTCCTGAAGCCATCAGAAGAGAATTTCTACACCCTGGTAACAAATGGGGCGTTAGACAGAGAGACAAGACCCGAGTACAACATCACCATCACCGTCACCGACTTGGGGACCCCCAGG